GAAAGCAAACTACTGCCATCTGGCCAACCAAAATGTGCTTTCTCATGGCTTGGCCTCTCCTTCTTCACCCATGTTGCTCAGCAAGCCACGTACTGCACACAGAACTGCCTCGTGGGTTGAAACTGGTCTGCAAGCCACAGGCTTTCCAGCCTTATCTTAAATCAGTAACACAAACAACCTAACTTTTAAACTGGTTACCTCAATGGTCTGAATATTTACCATTCTATCTAACAAAAACCCTACTGGATTCCTGTTCCACAGCCAGCACAGACCTCCTCCCTCCCCCCACACTTTCTGAGCCATCTGCCCAAGAGCTGTTGTACTGTAACCTGAAAAATAATGAAGTCAGCTTTCCTACAGATTTCTATCCTACATCATTCCCTCCCACAATGAGCTAGTTGTTCTCCTCCTACTCCTCTACAAAGCCTTGATCAGAATTCTTCCAGTATAGAAATTTGTTTCAATGGGAGCACTGGTGCCAAAGTTCTGGGTAAAGAAAGCAAATAAATGAACATTCATATGGAAAAAACAAGACATCCAGCACAACTGTGTAAAGCTCATAACAGCACATGTGGCAGCTCTGCATCAACTACATGAAGTCACCAGGGAAACTGGTGTCCCCCAACTGCAATCTATACTGTAAAAATCTGAGGTTCAATTCATGTGCAAGAGTGAAAACACTATCCAAGCGCCTGCTTCCAGCAGCAGACTCTGGGGAGGAATAATCAAAGTAAGGGCACTCTTACCTACCATTATGTGACATTCCAACTGAAAGGCACTTTTGAAAACGACAGTATTGGCACTTGTTACGGTTTTTTTTCTGAATTTTGCAGTTGCGATCACATTTATCATAGATGAGTTTCAAACGAATTGTTCTTCTGAAAAAGCCCTAGTAAAAGTTTGAAAAAACAGTATATAATGTTAACTAATGTTGGCTACTAAGTTTCAAACACACAGGTATTTTTTTCTTTCATTGTTTATTGATGTCACTAGCAAAACAATACACAGAGTATAACCTGTCCAGAAGTAAGAATTCGTGCAGTCAAGTGATGTGTCTGAGGGCTTGTATGGAATATGAAAGAAGGGAGTAGCTCTCAGTCCTCTTTCTTGGGAGAGAACCAAGAACCAGAGTACCCAAGCAGATTTATGCTTAAGGATGAAGCAAAACAGTCACATACTGCTTTTGTACACATTCCCTCAACATCCTCTATCAGAAACAACCTTCATCCTTCATGGTGGAGTCACAAACATGCAGAGAATTAACACATCTTTTCTTCATCCAGGAAATGTGAGGGGTATGACAACACAGCATGGTGTACAGAAGAGCCAAGGATACAAAGCAGAGCATTACAGAACAGCCTATACCTCAACAGCTCAACCTTACAGCGACGTCTCGACACTGCAATGCAAGGTTGGTCATACACTGCGAAACCACAGGGACAGCAAATCCAGAACATCCCAACATTTTGCATCACATGACATAACAACATGTCATTTAGACTGTGGGACACACCTGGCTAGGAACTGGTTCCCTGTCTCTAATAGATATTCTGCATTATTCCGTAAGATTTATACTCAAATGATCACATTCCAACAAGGTGCATGAAAGGAAACTTTACACAGATACAATTATTTCTCTCCTCTTACATTTTAATTTAGAAAAAAACAGAAAACGAAAACATTTGAGGAAAATGAGAAGAATCTTATAATCCCAAAAAGTATACATTGGTGATAAGAGTGATCTTCCCCAGAGCCCTGGCCTGGCCTCAAAACCACACGCGCAATACTACGTGATTCAGGCAGAATGTGGTGGAGATGAGAAATTCAGGATCTGCCACTGTTATAATGCAAACGTAGCACACTGGCATGCTCCCCACAGCCATACTCCCAACACAAACAAAACACTAGTGGAGCAAGAAGGCTTTGATTTTTGGTCCTGGTTTAGTGTTTTAAGTGGTTTTAGTGTTTAAGTACTATATCCAGAAAAAGCAGCATGAAAATGATCATTGTGAATCACCCCTGCTTGAGGAAGGTCTGGTATTGAGTTCTGGTATCTGAGCAATTGACTTCAGAAAAAGGAACACAGATATATTTATTACTTAAATAAGTGCAATGGTTAGAACTATGTTAATTAAACAGTTATGTAACAAATGTTTATATATTAGCCAAAAATAAAGCAACGTGATTTAGGTTCTTAAGAAGAAAATTATGACTGTACCTTACAGCCTTCACAAGCATGTACTCCATAATGGTAGCCTGAGGCTTTATCCCCACAAATTCTACATTCAATGTTTAATGCTCCACTGGTTGATTCATCTATGCTACCTGGAGCTGTGGCAAAGTTAATGGACGAGGGACTGGATGCTGGTGAAAGGGTGTCTAAAAGAAAAGGGAACACTTCATAAATACTGCACTATCAAGATTGATACAATTTCTATAGTAAAACCACATAAAAATGAGCATAAACTAAGAAATAATCTTAACAGTCATTAAATGAACTAATAATTCAGCTGTAGGTGTCTGAAAAGTAATTCATCTTACCAGTTCAAACACATACAAAATAGAGGGTGTTCCTTGCTAATTTTGATGAGACATACAGTGTCAACAAGCAAAAAGCCTTACTGAAGGGACTTGGGTAACAAGACCTAGAGGACTGATAATGGTTCTTGAGAACGCAATGAATACACACCACACCAACATTCCTTCCAGAAAGGTTATGAAGAGCTCATCCTGCCCTTACATCTTCCACCTCTTGTGCTGTAGGGACGAGCACAGGATCTATTGCTACAGCATGACAAGAGACATCCTACCTCACACACAGTAACACTTCAGATACACTTAAGGTCTCTCTGACCTTAGAAAAGCCACACAGAGTTTCAAACAATGATCTAAACTGGGGCCTAAAAAGCAGATAGACAATTCCTGCACAACAGCAGAAAGGCTGAACAAATGTTAAGAGGAAGGTAACACAAGTGCCTGAAATAATCTAGCTCAGATATTCCATGTTTTGCATATAAAGGGAAAAGCATTTCTGAATTGTACAGTGAAATAAACTCTCCAGACGTGTTACTAGTAGATGAACATGTTACAAAATGAACACGTTCCAACCTTAATTATTTCAATTAATATTTCCACCTTGTTTGAGGAAAATATTTTCTGAGGCCAGAATTTCTTTTATCTTCCATCTTGCAACTTGCACCACAAGACTTCAGCAAATTAATGGGTGTGTTATTTTAACAGACAGATTAAGAAACACTCATGAATGTAGGTCAGCAAGTATTATGTTGGAAAAAACCTTGGCATAGGACTCAAGAGTCTGCATTGCCAGTGCTGCCAAGCCCACAGGCATCAGAGACAAGAACAGCCTAAAACCCAGGATTTTTTTAAAAATGTGATTTCTTTTTGCTTTCTTTATGGAATTTGAGCCTTGGAAGTTGACATTTTGCATCTTCTTTAAGTGCAATACTAGAGTGTTTTGCTATGAACACTGAATACTCAAATGAGAAGGTGACACTAGAAGCTTATCTAAATTATTGCAGAACTTGTACACACATACACACAAATAACTGCAAAACCTCCTGTCTCTAAAGGATTATGTTATGAACTCAGCACAGCATAACTGTTCCTGTACAAGGCCTCTCTCTAATGAGAAGGTCTGCAACCCAAAGGGACCCAAACCACAGTTCTACAAACGTGCCCTTGGCCAACAGTGCCAAGAGACAGCTCTCCCTGCTCCCTTCAGCACTCACACTGCTCCTGTCAACTGCCTCAGTTCTACTACTGCAGGTTTTGTAAAGTGAAATAGGGACCAGGGGCTGGGAATTGATTTAAAGCAAGAAACCCTCAAAACAAAACATAAGGGAAACTAACCAGAAAGTTAATCATAAACTTCTTAAAATGGCTCTACTGCTGAGAGATTTGCAAACCCTCAGATTCAAAAGGAATACCTTGCTGACATTATCACAATGTCCCACATCACTGCAGTGATTCCCATTTTGATGTCTCTAACAAAGCCTCTCACAAGGATTTTGACTGAGGACTATGTAACATATGAGCACTGCAACTGCTGCACTAACGAGGGCAGAAGTCATTAGCTGAATAACACTGCTCTTGGGAACGAGGAGAAAAGAGCTTGTGCAGAACATCAGGACACCAAAATGCACTGGAATCCTAGGGGAGCTTTTAGAGGTTACATTTTTGGCAAGTATTTCACAATGTATTTCAAATAAACATGATTTGCAGAAACTTACAGATAAAAAGGGGGAAATCCTTTAGTGCAGTATTGTGACATCCTATGTAACTAAAACACATAGTAACTCATTTGCTAGTAATAATGATTTGTAAAAATTATTTTGAAAAAGGTGTTGATAGTAATGACAATTTACAACAGAATCTTTATGTTACAGCCATTTCTCAGTGGCATTTGTCTAATAAATTAACTTTAGCCTTACATAATTTAAGACCATGTTATAATCAGTTTATATATATCTAGTGTCACTTCATCATAAACAACAATTATTGCATTAAAGAAGTTTTTAATTTCTATCACTATATTTATAAAAGAAAGTTTCATGATAAACCAAAACTTTCTTACCTGTTATAACTGATCCATCAGATCCTGGACCATTTCCCAGCGACTGGAACTCTGTCAAACTTAAAGCTCCAGAACTATCATCACCTAGAGACTGAGAGAGGTCTTGAATGTTCTCCATATCTTGTAGGAACTCTCCAGATAAAGGGCTGTCTATATCCTCCTCCTCCAAGGGAGTGAGGGGATAGAGCTGGTTTTCAGTGTCCACCATTGTGATCAAGTAGAGCAGTCACTTACACTTCTTTACACTGGTGAAGGAATAATTTAAAAAAAATCCATCAGAATATTTATATTTTTTAATGATTTGAAGCAGTTGCAGCACACTGAATACAGGAATTCTATCCCAACAGTGACATATCATACAACATTCTGTTGCTCCAGAAGCTTTATGCAACATGAATCATCAACAGCACAGGGAGGGGAAAAAATTTCCCCGAAAGACTTCACTATGAATGAAAAATTATGACAAGATCAATCTGAAGATTGTTGTTTTCTCTCCTTTGCTGTGTTTCTATACCAATCATTATGCACTGCCCACCAAAATTTATAAACATCTAGTATCAATATTCCACGCTCTTTTCTTGAGTAGGAAAAAAAAGAGATGCTGTCACTATTACCAACTTTAGATGTCATAGTGCAAAGACCATGAGTAAAGCTCTATTTGCTCAACTTCTTGGAAACAGCATAGTTTTAACTAGAAAAGGAAATAAGTTCTACATCACATGGTGCAGCAAATAAGAATATCTAAGAGATTCAGTATGAGAATTTATCCATGATTTCTAACACCAGCTGCAGACAACAGGTATGTTACTGTACCAACTGTGGTGGTGGGTGAGAGGCTGGACATGCCCTGGCACCCAGAAAACCCTCGTGCCCTGGGACAGCAGGTAGGGAAGGGATTCTGGCCTTCTCTGCTCAGGTGAGACCTGCCTGCAGCTCTAGGGTCCTCAAGACCAGAAGGAGGTGGAGCTGCTGGAGCAGGTCCAGAGGAGGCCACAGAGATGCTCTGAGGGCTGGAGCAGCTCTGCTCTGAGGACAGGTTGTGAGAGCTTCACCCCGAGAAGAGAAAGCTCCAGGGAGATGTTAGATCCCATTCCAGTGCCTAAAGGGGCTCCAAGGGTTGGAAAGTGACTTTGGACAAGGGCCTGGAGTGACAGAACAAGGGGGAATGGCTTCTCACTGCCAGAGGGCAGGATGAGATGGGATATCAGGAAGAAATTGCTCCCTGTGAGGGTGGTGAAGCACTGGCACAGTGCCCAGAGCAGCTCTGGCTGCTCCATCCCTGGAAGGGTTAAAGGTCAGGTTGGATTTTTTATGAATGTATGGTTACACACCCAAGCAAAAAGGCACAGATTACTGTAGATTATCTGCCAAAGATTTTATTGCTAAACTTTCTCCATGCATTCAGAACAACACTTGCAGTCTCATGCTGACTCAAGATACAGAGTAATTCTGCAGATGAAGAGTCCCTTAAAAACATTACATTCACAAAGAAAGAAAAACAATCAACTGCAAACCCTTCTGGTGAACATCATCTGCTATTCTCTGCCAATACTTTCAGTCTTGAATATCCTTGTACAATTTCTCTGTTGAGGCAGTATGAATAAGGCCAGTAACACCTGGAACTAACTGTTCTGTTTGCTCTTCGTTATCCACCAGAATCTCTGACATAACCAGAATATACTCAAACTGAGAAATGAGAAGTCACTCGGATGTATTTGTGAAAACAAAGTTAAGTTGCTGTCCCCGTGATGTACCTGTTTTGCGATGAGGGAAACGTGTAAAGAAACCTTGAGATACATAGGTTTTGTAATGATAGCTGAGAATAACTGTTCTCCAGCAATCCAAAGGAGACTCCAAATTTGTCTCCCCCAGGAGCCATCAACAAAAAAGGACAAGAAGAATGGCAGAGCATATGGCAGAGCACTGCTCCTCCAGGGTGCTCTTCATGAAGTCCTCCCAGGCTAAAACAGTTGTTCACAGCACAGAAATACTATATTCCTCTGCAGATATGTGGCACAAGTGCTCTGCCCCAGGACAGCTGGGGAGGTTCCAGCAGGCACTGGGCTTCTAGTGCCCAATGTTACATCATGTTCCCTACTGAGTCACACACACCTCTCCAAGTATCACTGCTTTGTCCAGCACAAGTATTTTTAAAGGATTAAGTGAACAATGAAGTCTACCGTAAACCAAAATAGGCATTATGTGACAGGAAAGCAAAGGAAAGGCTTGAGAACTGAACTCTGAACATGGCAACAGCTGCCTAGGATCACCCAAAGTGCACCATACTTTTCCACATTTACACTCAATATTTAAAATTCAGCAGCCTTTTAAGCTGGATTTATATAAAAACAACCTAACAGGTAGTGAAACATAAATTAAGCATTTTAACTATTAAATTACATACCCTTTTGTACTTTCAAACACTACTAGTAAATTACAGCTGCTTAATCATTACAGCTCTTGTCAATGATTAACTGCTACCTTAGCAAGCACAGCTACCACATAACCATTTCTGAAGACTGTCAAAATACATGAATATTTTTATCACTGAAAAAGTTATATCTGATTTTTTTAGAAGCACAGCAGATCTTTAAGTAATATGCCTAATATTCATGCAGTAAGCTGTTTGCCTTCTGTCCTCTCTCTGTTTTGTGCATGTTTACACATGCATATGCTTTCATTGGCAGGTTTCACATAATATGCCTTGATCCTTGCTTGTATGAAAAGAAAGCTTCTAAAATAAAGAGGGTAATGAGTATGAAATTTATTTAAGTAATGTTCAGAGTATTCTGATTTACAGAAAAAGCTGTACATGTTACAACAGTAGATGTGGTAGCTGCAGCATAATGATTTCACTCAAGCATCTGCGTATCTCAAATCTTCACAAAAATTCTGTACAACAGAGACATTTGCAGAGGATTTTCTCAGTTTCCCATACAATATTTCAGTCTCCAGAGCCCCTTTCCTACCTCCACATACAAACACACACACAGATTAAACTGAAAACAAAGATAATATGACAGAAAAATAAGGACACAATTTCATGCAATTATGGTTTTAAGGATAACCAGGTTTTCCTGGTGCTCTCTCACAGCCTGTTATCTCTGACATACGTCTATTTTCAAAAGAAGTCCTTTCCCACCAGCACACTGCAAATACCCACTGATAACTCACCTAATAACTTGAAACAGGTCTCAAAGAAATCACAGTCAGATAGGAAAATACCGAATTGTGCAGCTATCAGCTATTTGCTTCATTTTTCAAAAGGGATGGAGGGGTACTAACCCCCTGTTCCTTCCACATTTAATACCTGCCACACCAGGGATAATCCCTGTAAGGAAACAGGGCCCTGAGATGCAAAGGTCTCCGGGAAGCAGTAGCAAAGTCTGAACTTAGTGCATAAACAAATTGATCGTGTAAAGGGCTTGCTTGCAAATACCAAGGTTAAAGTTGAAACAATCATTACCTCTAGGTCACTTTGAGAATGCTGGGGCTGAACACAGCACATTTCAAACTAGTGACTGCAGTAGATACTTTTAGAGAACTTAGGTGCATAGGAAGAGCCTTGAATACGTAAGCTGCAGGATATTTCTAATGTCTTAGTTCAACACATAGAAAACAAGTGAAAATAAAATTTGGCACATGAAATACAATGTCCAGATTTCTGTTTGGGAAAGGATGTATATTTTCTAGTCTATCATGTGACAACTGATTCAGTTGTTGTACTTTGTAACCTTACATACTAGTAATATTTTCTATTTGATGAAGTATTATGAGCCTGAAACAGACTTTACTATGTGTATAATGAAAACTTTTCTTAACCCATCCCTTTGCCAAAACTGCCAGTTGCACTCCCCCCTAAAAAAACCCACACAGAAAAGCTTTGTCTTTCTTCCCTTTACAGAGTTGCACTCCAAGATACCACATGCAACCTATAAGCATCCTTGCCTTTAAATCAAAGCAGAATTAATGCACCCTAATTTTGAAAATTGACAGTAAAATTACTAAGATCTTAAAAGTTACATAACAAAAAGATGTCTGCAACCTGGATTATATCCTACCTTGGTTTTTTTACATGCTATGGTACATATATTCTGCACGATCTTCTTTTGCCAAATCACTCTCCTTATAATTGGGCAGAGCATTAAACAGAAGTGGAATTACACAGCTCCTAAGGCAACCTGGTCTGCAGCAGGACAAAAGCAGTTATTGGTTACCAAAAACGAAGAACATTCTCTGCCTGTGCAATAAGGGAGAAAAGCCAATCCTCTCTCTCTGCTCCACGAGTACCTGCAGAGCTGCAGGAACACTAGAGAGGTTCTGGGAGAATACAGGATGCGGAGACAGGTGTCCTGTCTTCAGAAAGGAGGGAACATGGTGAGCTTTACTTCCCTCCCCTGAAAATACTGCTCTAATGGCATCAAAAGCTGAAGAGATAACACACTTCTAATCTCACAAGCCTAGAGATGGTAAAGCTTTGAAACACTGCAAGAATTGTGCTGATTGATATTAGAAGTGTGTGCTGGTTTGGACTGGGGTAGAGTTAAATTTCTCCCCAGTAGTTGGTAAGGGCTGTGTTTGGATTTGTGCAGAACAGTGCTGGTACCACAGGGATGTTTTAGCTCTTGCTGAGCAGGGACTGCACAGAGCCAAGGCCTTTTCTGCTCCTCACCC